AGTTAGTTAAGACGAAATGACTTTAATTCAACCCTATCTATCAGTTGGACAGAAGAACCACCCCAGATATGAGAGAGTACTCCAAGTTAGGAAGTATGAATCCCTTAACATACCTGAAGCAACTGCTCAGGAGTGAAGTAGCTTCAGCATTCCCCGCTTTCCAGGTGGAAAAAAGGAAAAGGGGGGGGTAGGAGTACTTTGCAGTAGTCAGTTAACATATTCTGCCACATAGGTCAGGAATATTCTGCTTATTCTTCACATGACTGGCTACTTTGGAAGGAATGACACCATACATTGAAATCATGTGAAACACACATGTAAAATGACTCCTTTTCATCTTTACACATGGAAAGAATTTTATGGTAGTTGTTGCATACCACTTACATTCCCATTTTGGATAGTTCTGCAAAATTAAGACAAAAACATTGCTGAATACAATTACTATACGGTCACATTTCAACTCCATTGTCTCTTTCATTGGTTAATGTACAGTAAGTGGAACTAAACAAATAGAAATGCATTAAAAACAAAAACACCAAGTTTGTTATTTATTTGAAAAATAATCCTACATATCATTCAAAATCACTCACTTCAGACACGCAGGTTACACAGTAACCTCGAAAAATGGTCATGTTAACTAAACGGAATGTTGACTTGTGTATAAATTATAAAACTAAAGCTTCAATCCTTCTCTGCATGGTGGAGATGGAGCTTACTTGCATTCCAACACTCACAAACATGACTTGGAAAATAAATAAAGATCAGACTCCTAACTGGTGCTATACTAGCCCTAACACAGCAATGATTAGTAGTTCAGCCTATAGCAAGTCTCAAACATCCACTCATTAACATGAGCAATGTACAAGCAATAAGACAGCTGGTTAACAATGTTAAGTTACCATTCACAGCAAATGGTTTAAAAAATTACATTTTTAAAAAATTCCACTAGAAAATCTATCAGAGCAGCATGAACTACAACAACCAATTCCAGCCAATGACTTGTTTGAAGCTACATGTTGGCACCAATCTACATTTGTACATGGTGCATTTATGCAACACCCTCCTTTCAACACACTTTCTTACAAATACAAGAATCTAGAAAACTGACAGGTACACAGGTAGGAAAAATATATTTAGATGCTACTTGAAATCCTAAGTGCATATGAAAAATAAAAAAGAGTAGCAAAGTTGTCAAAAAACGACTCCATGAGCAAGATGACTGGGAGGACTGGAGTGAGACATCTGAAGAGACTATTTAGGCAGTGGACTCGGCAACAGGCGCCTCCGATTCCTGAAGCTTTGCCTTCTTTGGGGCTTATATTTCTTTCGTTTCAGAATCATCTGCTGGACGCTTCTCTGCAAGGTGAAGAATACTAATTTAGATCAAATTAGACAAATATATATATATATATATATATATATATATATATATATATATATATATATATATATATATATATATATATATATATATATATATATATATATATATATCATCCCTTTAACTTTTTCGCTGTTTCACCCACTTGCCATTTTATTCTGGCTACCGCCAGACGACTTTATTCGTCTTTTTAAACATGATTTCAAACATTACACGCCCCTTTTTTCATAGTGAAAAATGTTTGTTTACATTTTTGTCAAGTGTTGACTTTATTTTTCTTTAAAACTGCTCGTTTTGATAAATAAAGCATGCTGTATTTGCGAATGAATAAACTATCAAAATGTACCTGTTCATCTCTTCTTTATTCCTCTTTAAATTTGAATTTTAAAAGTACTGCCTGAGAATCCGGAAAATCCGGGGGGAAAAAAAATATATATATATATATATAAAACAAGTGAGAAATGATACACAGTGTGTATATTGTGTTGTCAAAGTAAGAAAAACAATTGAGACCCTGCACTTGCTTGTAAATGAGGCAGAAAGTCAGATCATCAACCTGGAACTTGGTCACAATTTTCATGATGCCATATGGAAGCAGGGTCTACCATTAGACAACACACGCTTTCAATATCTTCCCAGGCGGTAGTACCTCCTGGTTTGATAGCTGCCTACAGGTACAGTATGTCATGGGCACACACGTTTAAAAAGGGAAGGTGCACATGTGTGAACCAATTTCTGAAGCAGAGGAATAATTGGTTTGATGTAATTAGGTATCTAAGGGAAGTGAACAGAAAAAAGGATGTGGCAAGTACTGTAGTGAAAATGCATGAGGGAATTGGGATAAACTGATTATCCAAAGTAAATACAGTCATGATCTAATACTAAAGAATGATAGCCCACTCCTATGGGTGAATGCGCTACTGCCCAAAGTAGTTGGGGGAGTAAACTAAATAATTACTAGGAAAGGAATAAAGGGAGAAAGAAAAAATAGACAATCACATTTTCTTAGGGTTTGCATTTTTTATAGCAACTGCAATGGTGCCCCTGTACTGTGTGGGAAGTGAATACTTATGTGTGGAGGCAGTGGGCTGTATCTGAGTGGCTACACTCCCTCTCCAATGTGACAACATGGCATACACACACACAGCAGTCTCCAAGTTGGCTTGTTGACTGCCTGGCTGAAGTTGGGTCAAGTCTCCAAGAGGTGTTTTTTTTTTACATAGAATAGGTGCTATTGTATTTTATGATATGCAACTACTGATAATGTATTTTATATGCAAGGCATCAATTTTATTGTTTATCATAGGCCCAAAAAATTCCCAGCTCATTCCCAGTTGTGCACGGCATTCAAACTTGTGCTTCTAACTTGTTTTGGAAGAACTTTAATATTATTTAATTTTTAGGCCAGATGGTTGAATCTGCCAGTTCAATCAACTCTGATTCAACTATAGAACAATAAAGTTATTCCTATACCTCACACAATTTACCCATTCATATACATTTTGTAGTCAGCCCAAAAATCAGCAAGATTTAAGGAGAATATGATAAAAGTAACAATTTGACGATTTCTAAAAAACAAGATAAGAAGTCTACACATCAAAAGATTATACTGAACTTATTATACGGCACACTAGGAGTATTTGTAAGCCAATAGGATGCACTACACATGCCAGTATCCCAAGATAAACCATTAGGGTGTTTGTATTTATGTAAAATAGCAGAAACAATCCCTTCTATCTGTGAAAATTACATTACAATGCAGCGATTAACTTGAAACACAGACAAATCATTTAATACTGGAAATATTTTGAAGTTAGTGATATTGCCATTGTCATCACAGTTCCAACCACTTTTACACTGCTCACAAGAAGACAATTTCATTATCCTGAATAATGTATTTTTTGTAATTAGATCTAGTACCCCATTGCAAATTATCATTGTACACATTAAAAAGTATTTTTCATACTTTATAACAAACAGAACACTATATATATATATATATATATATATATATATATATATATATATATATATATATATATATATTATATATATATATATATATATATATATATATATATATATATATATATATTATATATATATATATATATATATATTTTTTTTTTTTTTTTTTTTTTTTTTTTTTTTTTTTTTTTTTTTTTTTTTTTTTTTTTTTTTTTAAGTATATATATATATATATATATATATATATATATATATATATATATATATATATATATATATATATATATATATATATATATATATATATATATATATATATATATATAATATATATATATATATATATACAATATATTAGTATGTATATATACATATGTATGCAGGAAGGGGTTCACAGTTAGTTTCAGCGCTGTATGACTAGAGCCTCCAGTCTGTACTCACCCCTGAAGATGTGAATTACACGAAAGCTTTGGGAACTTCGCTGTTTTCTTCTTCCTTGTGGTTATCAGCATATACCTAGATCACGCCACCTACAGTGTGATTTACTTGCACATATATATATATATACATATATATATATATATATATATATATATATATATATATATATATATATATATATATATATATATATATATATATATATATATATATATATATATATATATATATACACACTGATAAAAGGAAATTCCTCAAAATAGATCATCTTATTTTTGCAGACTCTACAGCACCTTTCAAGTAAAAAGAAGGGATGGATATTATGCATGAACTGAAAATCACATCAAGCAACTGCATAAGACTTTCCCCCCAAAAAAACAGGGGAAGCAATACATAAAAATCCTAGGGTGAGGAAAAATTCTAAAGGCCCAATCCTGCTTTTTGAAACGATATTACAATATAAATATAGTCCACAGACAACAGTACAGCATGATGTAATATTATTTCTCATTTTGGGCAAAAAAATCATATTCTAGAATTTGTCCCAAACAGGAAATAAACCAGGGTTCAGGGGCAGCAGAAAGCAAAGTCCCATTATTTTTTTTTATTAAATGCTCCCATTAAAAAGGTCTAACCTATTAATGGCAATTCTTTCCACTGTACCATGAGAAGAAAAAATATATATATACTGTAGAATAAAATATCAAACAATAAGTAATTATTTAGTGTACTTTGCATATACATGAGAATGAGAGAGAGACCTGTACATGTTTAAATTATCCTAGTTGCAAACCTGACCAATGTAAAATGACTGGGCCTACCTGAATCACCATTGCTGATGCCATTAGTCTGTTCACTATGTCCATTTGTCATGGTGGAGTCAGATGCCTCCTATGGGGTGAAAATACAATCATTAATTACTGAATAAGAATAAGATTCCCCACCCACATATCAATTACATTTTGTGTTCAATATGCAACCACATTTCAGAGCACAACCATCAACATACCTTCTCTTCACCATTTGTCTCCATTGCTTCCCCATTTGTGTCTTTATTGTCTTCTACTGAGGCTACTTCCTTCTGTAACATCCATCTCTTGTTCCTCAGCTGCTGCATTTGGAACTTCATCCTTTGTTTTTTCTGTCTTTTCAGATTTGTCTCCCTTCTGTGCAGCTTCTTCCAGCCTCTTCAGTTTTTCTTCTCGCCTTT